CCTCAGAAGTCGTTCTGGACACCAGCTGTCTACAATTTCAGCAGAATGCCCGCATTGAGTCACATTCCGACCCCTCCGACTCTTCGGATTCAGGGAATTCCGACTCTGATGCCAATGTTGACAGTCTACGTTTGGGAGGAGAGGACTTCAGGTAAGAATGGGGTTAGTTACTGTAGTTGCAGAGTGTATCCAATGAAGTAATGCATGTTGTACGCTACGATCACAACAGTAATCCTATCCTCTTCAAGTTAGAAATTGATTGTCCCAGCCAATGTACATGTATGGTGTGATGTGCTCTATTCTTTCCAACATTTAGCTGTTATGTTGTGTTGGTTTCAGGCTTGGTCCACTGACGTACGGTGCAGGACGCGCAAAACTGGAGGAGAGGCAGAAGAGGAAGGAGGAGCAGGAGACATTGCGCAAGGAACGTGAAGCGACCAAGAAAGCCAAAGAGCAGCAGAAGTGCGAAGATCGTCAGCTGGCTGCCAAGGATGCAGCAAAGCTGTTGTGGAGCCACCATCACCAGGGCCTAGCACACGCACTTGGTAAACTTCAGAAGAAGCACCTTTCTGCCCTTCTGATTCTCACCAAGAGCCCGGTTAAAGGCAATGAAACGCATGGTGTGTTGGCCTCACACCTTGAGAACAAGCTCAAGAGCGATGACCTGGAGAAGCAAGACAAGAATATACGAGAGCTTGTCAACCTCTTCTACGAAATCCCAGTGTCATGTTCCCCAGCGTCAGCGTCAACAACCACGACCATCAGCAGTCTCCCGTCCCCGGCGGCCACCATGTCGCCATCAGCATCCCCTGGTACATCCTTCTGGCCTAGGAGTGTTTCAACTCCACTACCCAGGGCAACGGTGGCTGTTTCACCTCGACCAGCCTTCCTGATGCAGCCTAGACTCCCACGGCCCAGCAATTACAGCGGACCCAGGCTACCAACTGGATATGCTGCTCGGCCGACACCAAGAGGAAACCCACCATCATCCAGTGGATCCAGTTGAGCTGATGACCATGTGTGGCGCAGGTTTGGACACGTTCTCCTGGCGGCCCTTCGGACAATTTTTTCTTCTTTCTTATTTATTCCGGTTCATTGTTCTGTTCATAGTCCACACGCTACTATGATCTTCAAGTAATCATGCTTCTATGGTGTTGCCAGACCCGGGCCATGCTCTATTTCAATTGTAATGCACATGTTGTGGTTCTTTAAAACTTTTTGGTTTCAGTGGATGCTGGGAAGTCACTTCTTTAGGGCTCTAATTGCTTGCGGAAGACTTTGTTTTTTTTGGCATTAGTACTTGTCACTGTTCTAGCATGTACATGTATGTGTGTAGAATGGAAGAATGCGATGAAATAACACTAAACATAGTCATTTTACACAATGCTTGGAATCTAAAACGTTCATATTCATAGCATCATATCAACCCAATAGGCCTTGACGGATTATGCTAATATTTTCGTGAAATTATGCTTTTCGCATTGCTGAAAAAATTGCAGAATTATGCTATTTTTATGCTAAAAGTTATACATATTATGCCGCATTATGCTCACATATGCTGCTACATGTATATGATGGTTCTGTGCAAAATAACAGGGGAATTTTTTTGTAGAGGGCGCTGTACTGTAGTAGCAAAAGTTCAACGGGGTCAACATGGTCAACGTACCGTCCGACCTAGCTACGACCGCCACTGATTGTAGTGGACTGGACATGTCGTAAACCTACGACTTCCAGGTGCATCAACTTGTACTTGTACTTGTAGAACATGTACAACTGTATGGAATTTGATGCGAACAGGCGGATTATTCCAATTTATGCGATTCGTATGCAATTTGCCTCGAATTATGCGACTATTCGATTTTGGTAGGAATTATGCGAAAAATTATGCTAGCATAATCCGTCAAGGCCTACAACCCAAATGTAATCCATTCCTTGGGGCGTTATGATAGTCATTCAGTTGAAACTTGGTGAAGATAGAAAGAAAGGGATCATTTAGAAAAGCGATCCTGTCAGCTTTTCTATTATTGTGTTCACATGGCAAGAAAAACGACATCGCTATGCTACGTAAGTTTCTACGTAAGGTGATCGGTATTTCACTTAGGCTACGTAAGTCTCTACGTAAGGTGCTCGGTATTAGATCTACCAACGGGTGGTAGCCGCGTGCTGTGCACTTGCACGGCTGCAGCCGGCAGACATTGTGTTGCAGTGCAGTCCGTGTTCGGATGTGCATGCGCGAGGAACTTCCTTCTTTGGAACTGCTTCTTGCATGAGCTGTTTCGGATATTTCGTCTCCTGGCTGGCTTATTTCGTTTCGGCGCTGCTGAGACCTCCTTTCGCCGGATATTACTCAATGACAGGTGAGTTGACCAGTTCCCTTTGATTCATTTGCTTGTGTTGACTCTTTCATTTACGAAAAGTGTGCTGATTTTGGGCGGAATGCAATAAATAAAGGAAAAGCTGACAGGATCTCTTTTCTAAATTTAGCTTTTCCGCTGCCGAGGCCTCCTTTTACGGTATACTCGATGACAGGTGATCTCTGAGTTGACCTGTTTCCTTCGATTCATTTGCTTATGCTCACCCTTTCATTTACGGAAACGTGTGCTGAATTAATTCAGATTTAGATCCATTTTTATCTCTTTGCCCTTGTCTACAGTGTGCGAAGAACGCGAGTTCACCTTCTTGACGGTAAGGCTCATGTTAGATGTGTTGTCGAAATACTCATATTCATTGTACATTGGTACGTTACAAGTAAGGCACTGGTCAGTGGCATACTATCGTTGGCAGTTCCCAATCTGGAGGGAAAGGTTCAAGGTTAGACCCATTGACCGAGTTTGCAAAATAAATTCGCATACGGTATCAGGGAAAATCTCCATTGTGGAGAGGTTCAGTAAACTTGTTTGCTTCATACGAAACAAGCCAATGGGTGCAGTCTCGTCTCGTGAAGATCTCGTACTTGTGTGATTGGATTTGTTTACTCGAGTCTGGGCTGTTTGAATTATTATTTGTGAGTACCGCCGAGATTGCACTGCCCCAAATAAAGTTTCGTGCCGCCAAAGCAAGAATTACGATCTGCAATCTGTTTGTAGTACCTGCAAGAATGTGCTGTACATGTATCGTACTTTCTCTATTGCTGTTTCAGTTGCCGTCATGTTGCTAAAGAAACGTTCAGTACAGAGAGAGGTTCTGCAAAACGAAATTTCGAACGAAGTTTCGCGACAGTCCTTGCGAAAGTGTGTACGAATTTTTGCACGAACTTTGCGTTCTGCACATTTTCGTAGTTTGCGCGGGCCAAGTGCACGTACGCCATGACCCGATCTCACGAAATTTCCTACGACAGTTCATTTCGTGTTCCCTGCAAGTTTCGCACTTCATGACGTAGAACGAAAGTTTGTACGCATTTTCGTTTTGCAGAACCTCTCTAGTGACTCATTTGTTTCAAACGAGACGAGTCAATGAGTTGGTGTGGCTTAGAATCTTTCGCTGTAGAAGAAATCTATTCGTATGTCTATTGGAGAAATAATTGTATTCACTGGTTATACATGTATAATATATAAAATAGGTTAAGACAAACTCACAGAATAAATACCCTTGGTGTTCGTCCTAAAGAGGTTCGACTGGATATCATTCATACTCACCAAAAGATGTAAGATTTTATTATTTATGGAGTGCCTTGTTTATCTCTCAGTACCTCCAAGCATAGCCTTGCCCCTTTTATCCTCATCAGTGTAGTTGTTGGAACGAGGTGTCGGACTCAGCAATGTATTTGTTTACATTTTAATACATGTTTATTGTTCCTCCTTTGCTGTGTTGTTTTAGAAAATCGTGGACTAACAGTTTGAAGTCATTGAACTACTTCCAAAAGTTGTATCGACATCAACAGGATTACGATTTCAGTGCAATATGATGCAGGATGACCTTATCACGATAACCCATGATTATAAACCATTATAAACACAGAATCAACAAAAAACATCTGCGACACGCACCTGGTTACATTTCTCAAATAAATCTGATCCAGGGTGGGGAAATCTGAAATATCGGAAAGGCTAGATTATTATTATGACAGAGTCATGAAATTCTGCTACAGCAACATGCACAGAATGACCTCCGTATAAAAAAAAGTATCACCACGGTCCATCACTACTCACATGTTTCCCCGCAGAAGAACATGCTAGCCTAGTGCCATTTTCTGCAAGAAAAGGCTTGCACCTCCATGCGTATAATACGGTATTGATATGATATGAAGGCCATCATTTACATATTGATATAGGGCATTCCATTGATTGGTGACAGAAAAAACAAAAGAAATTATAGCAATAAAAACTGCTTTATGGCAGTTTTCTAAAAAATGTTATTGTGTTCTAGTCCATGGACCCCGTCTAAAAAGTAAGAAATTAACGAAATGTGATAGCCGAAAATTAAAATTTCACACAAAACCTCACAATAATCACACACAGAATGAAAAGCTACATGTAGAAGACCATTTCCCCTCGTGATCCTCTTTCCTATGCATGCATGACATGCATGTTGCCAATTGTGGTGCAGTACAAGTTTAGTGTTGAAAGCAGCATTTCAACTGTTGTGATTATTGTGAGGTTTTGTGTGAAATTTTAATTTTCGGCTATCACATTTCGTTAATTTCTTACTTTTTAGACGGGGTCCATGGACTAGAACACAATAACATTTTTTAGAAAACTGCCATAAAGCAGTTTTTATTGCTATAATCTTCTGAGTGAGTACTCTGTACTGCTAGCTGCTGCCGCACGGGCATGACAGGTGCGCAAATGCGCCATGTGCATAAGCTGCACGTTACTTCCGACGTGACTCGTAGATCGTAAATACTCACGTCACATTTGGCGTAAAATTTCGACGTGTGCCGTGATCTCCACGGCCACGTGGACCGGTACACAGATCTCGCCGTGGGCGCATGGGCGTGCATGCAGTGCACTGGGAATGCCAGCGATCGTCTGAAATAATTTTTGAATTGAATGTGTTTTGAACTGGGAGTCCACCTGGTTCAGCAGAACAAGCTGATGCAAAAAGTCTTTGCTTTGTGCCTGCTGTGACTTCCTCTCCGCAAGAGTTTTGTAGGAAGCACACCTTCCTGGGTATCTGTTGGCTTCTAAGTGCTCAGGTGGGGATGATCGGTTGAACTTTGCGAGAACCACGACACAGGTGCCAAATTCGTTTTGCCAAATTTTTATATTTTGAAATTTTCAAAATTGTTTTGCAGTATATCTGGTAGCCAGCTGTGGTGCCGTTGTCGCGTTCAACTGGCCTCAGTTAGTGCCAGTACTGTGCTAAGGCGAGGGAGCGGATCGACGACAGATTGGCAATTTGCGAGGCGCACGGCGTGGCGTGTCAGAACAGATCGAGGATGCGTCGGCCAGTTTAGTTTAATCCGCCGAGAAGAACGAGGCACACCGTACCCTCACAATGGCCTTGGCCATTCTGTTTGCGCTGCTGTACCGCTGGCTGCTGCCGTTGGTACTACTGAGCGGTAAGATCTCTTTGGGTAGAATTTGATGTACTACATTACAAGACAAAAAAAAAAGCAATAGAAAGCCATGATTCATGGGTGCTGCACTCTCCTCAACAAACGTCACAGCTGTGTACTGTATAGTGATTTGGGAACATTTGAAAATAGAAATGTGTTATCAAGGAGTGCAAAGCACAGTGCTGACTGTCGACCAGTGTTGTGCAGAGACTGGCTTGGGCACAGGGCTGAGCACAGGGTCGAGTACAGGGCTGCCATTTGATGTATGCCCGGGGCACACATAGGCAAGGTTTTAGGTCGCGTACGTTCGAGTGCGTGCGCGTAGGTGTGTGTGTGTGTGTGTGTCTCTCTCTCTCCCTCCCCCTCTCTTTCTCTCTCTCTCTCCTTTCCTGTCTCATTTTCTTCTGTTCTCTCACTGCTTCGCTGTACAGCGGCTGTTGTTCGTCTCAATGGCTTCTCATTGACCTACCTGGTGCTGCTCCTGTTGAGTCTATTACTGAAGAGTGACTATCGCAGTGCGTCACCGCGCACTCTACTTATCCTGCTGCTGGCCGTGTCTACGGGTAGCCTGCTTGGCAATGCTTTCTTCCAGATCTCGCGCTCCACGGACTACGCCAAGGATCACCTGCAACCAGGTACGGTAACAGGGGCATAGCTGGTCCCCCCCCCCTTTTTTAGCTGGTCCCCCTTGTGTGTGTGTGTGTGGGGGGGGGGGGGCACGGCCGCTTCATACATGTAGAATAGCTGGTGCATGTCATCATGGTCATTATAATGTAGGTCCGAGATTTTTTAGGGGGAGGGTGGACGTGCCCCCCCCCCCCCCCCCCGGCCCTATGCGAGCTATGTGCCTGTGTTAGGTTCTTAGGTAGCCAAGAGACAAGAAGTAGTTTATTAGAATGCACGAAGTGGAAAACTGAGAACAAGTTGGATCGGTAAAACGACAGAGAAGACTCTCGAAAAAGATGCATGCGTGCCGTGCGTAACTGTGAGAACTGAAGTTGTACGCATTGCGTCATAACATAACAGGTACAGTCGAACCTCTTGAAGACGAACACCAAAGGACCAATTGTATTTGTTCGCAAAAAGAGTTATTCTCTATACCTGGTATATGCTATGCACTGTTGATGCACTGTGATTTAGCCAATCGGGTTATGAATACTAGCAAGAGTGCATATACAAGAGTATGCAACTGTGGTTATGGGTCAGTGCGCGGTGCGCTGCCTTCATTACGTAACTTGCCTCCATCAGGCTCTGAAAGCATGCACTCAAACCCACAATTTCTCGTACAAGCCCATCCGTTTTTGCTCGATTCGTTCCAGTGCCTACCCGATCTCTCAATCTTGGCGCGTGAACTCCAGTTCAGTATGAAAGTTCGTTTCAAACCAGAGGAAAAGTGCGGTGTTTGATTTTCCGCAGTGTGCAGACTGCAGCGGAATGATGCAATGAAGGCAGCGCGCCGCACATCTGGCCCATAGAAAAGAGATCACAGTTGCATACTCTTGTTTATGGACTCTTGATACTAGCAGTGCGCCTTTGCATATCAGCACTTCACTCATCCCTGGCTTCACATACCGTCTGCGAAGCCGTAATTCGCTTATGGACATGCGTTCTTTTGACATTAATGTAGCATGGGTGTTGTGTGTGTGTGTGTGTGTGTGTGTGTGTGCGTGCGTGTGTGTGTGTGTGTGTGTGTGTGTGTGTGCGCGCGTGCGTGTACGTGTGCACATGTGTATGTGTGTCCATATGTGAACTCCTCTGCATGTCTATGTTGTCACTGTGCACCAGGTGACGAGGCTGAGCGGATATGGCGGCAAATCGGCTTCAACCAGTAAGCAATGGCCACTATCTTTTTTAAGCTATTATAATTATATGAACAAAATCGCCACTGTCGTTGTGCGTGTGATGTCTGCCTTCACACGCACGAACGCTCAAGACAACTCGGTAGGGTCGTGCAAGAATAAAATTACACAGGTGTGAAGAAGACAAGTAAAAGAACCGATGGCAAGATCAAGCCAAGCTTGCAGGTCGACTAGTTCAAGATGGTGTATGCTGTTTGTAGTGTGATGGCGGCATCAAGAGTCCCAAAATGTGACACACGTGTTCACGTGTTGTATGTGTTTGTCCGTTGGTGTGTGTGTGTGTGTGTTTACGCGCTACCTGTGCGTTGTACGTGCTTGCATGCATGCAGGATGTCGGCGTTCTCCGCTGTGGAGGTCATTCGCCATGTGATGCCGGACATTGTCGTATTCCTGCTCACCGTACCGCTGATCATCTTCATCGGCAAGCTGAGAGCAACCAGTGCAGCGGCGGCGGCCGACGAAGACACGGACGACGCCGACGCCTCGCTGGAGGCAGGCATCCGACGACGAGACGATGATGTCGATGATGACGCGGCCAGTGGTGGTGGCGATGGCGACGACTCGGAACAGGGCATGCCGGAGTGGTTTGTGTCGGTGCTGCGCACGTTCAGCAACGCGCTGTGCGTGACCGCACTGCTCCTCACCAGCGCCGCCAACCCCAGCGTGCTCTCCTCCGTCTACCTGCTGCTGTTCATCGGTGTGGGCGTGGCCTGGGCGCTGGCCACCAGGCACGGTGCGGCGCGTCTCCATGGCGTCAAGCTGTTCACGCTGGCCTACTCTGCGCTGCACCTGCTCGCTCTCTATGTGTATCAGTTTGACGGTGTGCAGTCGACTAGTGCGTGGAACATCACTGATTACTCCACAGTGCAGTAAGTTTTTTTGTTTTTGTTTTTTTTGAATTTACTTCACCAGATACATGGGCATTTCTGCTGTCGCGTCTAACCATACTGCTAGACTCTCGATATAGTATGCAGTGAAGTGGTCGCTATGTCTGTAGATTGTGTCGTTATTTGCGAATTGTTATGAAAAGGTTTAACTTAAAACCGTGGTCGGTATTCACCAGATTGACTGGAGTATGCTGGGGAAGGCGATGTCCGGTGTGCCGTACTGTTCTACTTCGTGCGTTACTGTTGCATCTGTTTTGTCTTATGTATTCACTGTTGCTTCTCTCTCTCTCTCTCTCTCTCTCTCTCTCTCTCTCTCTCTCTCTCTCTCTCTCTCTCTCTCTCTCTCTCTCTCTCTCTCTCTCTCTCTCTCTCTTCTCTCTCTCTCTCTCTCTCTCTCTCTCTCTCTCTCTCTCTCTCTCTCTCTCTCTCTCTCTCTCTCTCTCTCTCTCTAATTTTCTCTCTCTCCCTCCCTCCCTCCCTCCCTCCCTCCCTCCCTCCCTCCCTCCCTCCCTCCCTCCCTCCCTCCCTCCCTCCCTCCCTCCCTCCCTCCCTCCCTCCCTCCCTCTCTCTCTCTCTCTCTCTCTCTCTCTCTCTCTCTCTCTCTCTCTCTCTCTCTCCCCTTGTCTATATCAGAATGCTGGGTCTAACACCGTTGGTGAATGCTTCTCATGGCGGACCTCACCCGTGGTCTATTGTCTTCACAAAAGAGGCCAAGTGGACATGGTATCTGTCGCCGGCACTAATCTTTCTTCTCTTCTGGGTTATCTCACTTGACCTACGCTTCTCCTCCAAGGTATGTAGTGTGCACACCACTGTTTATATATTATAGAAAGAGGACCAAGGAACTACAAGTTACACTATAGTTTACACTAGCACCACCAGTTACTTGACAATCAGCTCATGCGGTAACATTGCACGACACTGACCAACGTAGTTCCTTGGTCCTTTTCTTTTCTATAAATTTATCCTTGGGTCTCCATCCGAGTTCACTGTTGATAATGTTCTTTTTTTGGCAAACCTGGGATGGATTGTTCTCAAAACGTTGTGGCTCAGTTGTACTACAGTCCATTTCAAAACTATAGACGCATAGGGTTTTTGAAATATTTCAAATTTGGCTGGATCTTTTTGAGAATAGTTTTCGGAATATTGCTCAGGTCCGCTCCACAATTACTCTCATATAGTTTCTAAACGATTGGATAACAGACGCCCAATTTGGAAAAAATTATGCACAAAGTGATCACAGATTTTATGTGGTTAGATGCTGGCATAACGGCTTTTGCCTAGGTACGCGTCTATAGTTTTGAAATGGACTGTAAGTAGTATTATTCCATTCAGTTTGGGGGTGGTGGTTAGGTATGATGGGGGTGGGGAGGGGGGGGGGGGGGTGGGGGTGGTGGTTAGGTATGATGAAGGGGGGGGGGGGGTGGTTAGGTATGATGGGGGTGGGGAGGGAGGGGGGTGGTTAGGTATGATGAAGGGGTGGGGGGGGGGGGGTGGTTAGGTATGAGGAGGGGGGGGGGGGGGGTGAGGGGTGGTTAGGTATGATGAGAGGGGGGAGTTAATTTCTTGGTGCTGGGATTAACTTACATTTCAACAAACTCTGTGATTGTATCTGTGCAATGGAGAAATGGTTTTCTGTGTCTGTGCTAGGGCTGAAACGAATATCCTGAATATTCGAACATTCGTTCTTTTAGCTTCGCAGAACGAACATTCGTGAGGTGACGAATATTCAAACTGAAATTTTATTTTTCCATGTCGGAACTCTGACAATTTTCTCGAGTTATCAAGAAAGAATATTTGTTCGTTTACCGTTAAGTCTTGTATAAAAGCCGCACTTGAATAGAAGCCGCAATTTTGGGCCCATCAAATCACACACGAGCCTGGTTTTAGTGTTGACATACATAGAAATACCTGTCTTGTATAGAAGCCTGTCTCATATAGAAGCCTGCAAAATTTCACCAAGAAAGTCATAGAAGCCTGCAAAATTTCACCAAGAAAGTCATAGAAGCCGCGGCTTTTATACAAGACTTTACGATATTCGTTAGCGTCAAGAACGTTCGATTACTGAGAAATTGTGTACGTTTCGGCCCTAGCCTGTGGATGTGTTTGTGTGTTTGTGTATGTATTGTGTATGCGCATTTGGCTATCTGTGTGCACCTTCCTAAGGGTGTGCAGACTCCACTGTACCCACTTGATGGTTTACACAGGAAGATGGGCCTGGCCCGAAAATTTGGATTTTGGATGCTGCTGCTTGTAGAGGCAAAACAAAATGTAGCTGTTCACAACAGCAACATCCAGCATGTCAAGGGCAATGGTCTTCCAGTATTTGTTACTCTTTCGAAGAATCCGATATGCTGCAATGTGCTGGTCAAACATGTCAACTCCACCCATTCCGGAGTTGTATTCACAGATACATTTTGGTTGTTTCACCTCAATAACTGCATGCTGGCCATTTATCTTGGTGTTTCTGGTAATTGTCACAGAATCTGTTGCACAGTGCATGGTGCTGAGCATAGTGACGCTTCTCCTGTCTTTCCACTGCACATACACATTCCGTCCATCTCTCACGTAGCGCATGCATCCACGGTCAGCATGTTTGTCAAACACGGCAACGCTCTTCAATATTTCCGGAACACCACGTCGGTTCAATTTGATCGTACCAACAAGCTCAATACCATCAGCATGAAGAGCGTTGGCTAGATCACCAGATGTATAAAAATTGTCTGTGTATATAACATGGCCTTTATTGTGTAGCATTGATGATAAATTCTGTACAACACGTTGTGTCAGTCCAACATCTGTTTGACCTTGCATTTCTTGGCCAGTGTGAATAGCAAAACTATAACAATAGCTTGTGGCAGAGTCACAAAGTGCCCACACCTTTGTTCCCCATTTCACAGGCTTCATACTGGCGAAACGGAAAACGAGCTTTGGAGCGTACAATGCGTTCATCCACGGACACGTTCTGGCCAGGCTGGTAGAGCGCCTTACAGCGTGATTGCACGTGTTTGCACAGGAACCGTATCTTCTTCCGGCGATCGGTATCGACTTCTGTACCAGGGTCGACAATCTTGAAGAAGACTAACAGTGCCTTGAAGCGTGTGTGGCTTGAAATCAGCTTGCGCGCCCAGCTGCCGTAGTAAAGGGGCTTCGTAGCCCAATAGTCTTGAATTGACGGTAACTTGCACACTCCCATTAAAAGCAAAATGCCGAAGAAACGGTACATTTCGTCAACAGTCGTGTCAATCCAGGCTCCGTTCTTGTCACCATAGGATGGCATAGAGGTAATATGGAGTTGCGCGTATTGATTTGTAAATCCAACCAGCATATGCATGACTTCAGCAGTGAAGAACAATTTGAAGAAGTGCAATTCAGAAGTACCAGCGAAATTATCAGGTAGGTTGGTGCCAGGGTTCTTGTCAGGGGTGAAAGCAGGGCGCACCTGTGGGTTGGCATCAGCCTGATCCCACATGTGGTCAACAGTCACTCCCCTCCCTCGTGCCTGTCTCCCTCGTCCACGTTGTTGACCTCCACGACCAGGTTCTGCACCACCACCAGGATTGCCACGTCCTCGTCCATGACCACCACTCGCAATATTCTGTCCACGACCTCTCCCCCTGGCGACATCACTGGTATCAGCGGGGTTACGTGTCCGAGTCGGCTCGCGGCTGCTGCGCGTTCTCTTCGGCGCAGGCGCAGCACCATTACTGTCGCTGTCGCTGTCATTGCATCTGCTGTCGTCGTCAGCAGTGTCAGAGCAATCGAAATAATTATCCTGATCGCCATCCTCGTCCGAAACAGAATTCAAATCTCCAGATTCACTGCAGTCAGAACTATTCTCGCCGCCCGATAAATCCAACTCAGAGAAGCAAGGCACAGGAGCGTCGGTCTCTTCCAGCTCCTGAAAGCACTGCAGAGCGCAAGCAGCATCCATACCCAAAAATTCCCAGCTCGATTTCCAGCTCGACTCGCGATTCCTCCAACTTCAACAACAAATTTGACAAACACTTTCTACAGCAACATACCACATGTTGTACACCGTTGGAAAGGTCTTTTCATGACGCGTTTGATTGTCCGATTTTTGTGCGCAAAAAATGCATTCCCGCGAAAATTTGAAAATCACATTTTCGACGGATAGTCGTAGAAATTGGTATGTACGGACGGATAAGGGTTAATTAGTTATTTTTGGAAGAATTTGTAGCCGAGAGACTGTTTTTGGGTAGTGGTGTATAACTGTGTGTCTGTGTGTCTGCATAA